GAGAGAGAGAGAGAGAGAGAGAGAGAGAGAGAGAGAGAGAGAGAGAGAGAGAGAGAGAGAGAGAGAGAGAGAGAGTTTAAATTTTGATCCAGATGGCGAATGGTCAATTGGTGCGACAAATTGTTGGGATATATTTAACGTGGAGTGTGGAATTGAGAGGCTTATGGTTTCACCAGTGCCTACTCTACGAGGACGGATGCATTTACAGTCTTCACAATTGTATTTCCCTAAGTTAGTCGTTGTTGACTTTTTGCAGCCATAAATGATGGGTAAGGTCGGAGTTAGGTGCGGTGTCAGGTGGATGTGCCCACTCTTTGGGAATGAATGGTCATTATAGTATGAGTATACAATTTTTTGTTTCTCTCTTGTTTTTTTTTTTTGGTCCTTTTTCTTTTTTTTTTTAATCCTGTTCGTCTCTTCCAGGTGTGGGGCCAGTTTGATGCGCAAGGAGGGCACGCGAATCGAGAAAAACGAAAAAAAGAAGGACAACAAGGTTAAGGAGTTGGATTTGAAACAAACAAACAAAAGCAAAACGGACAGCCGACAGCCGGTGATTGTGTTTGATTTTCCAAATGGCAGGTAAAGTCAAACCAATACAAGGACAGGAGGGACAGGAGGGCCGTTGCCGTTTCATGAAAGAAACAGAAAAGAGATGTCGGGGAAGCCATACTCACAATAGTACTGTCCAGAATGTATCTGACCACTATCACGGCCGAATCGTTGTCTTTTTTTCTTTTTTTTCTTTTTTTTTTTTTCCCTTCTTCTTTCTTGTAGTGCTCTGCCAGGGAGGCAAGGCGTATTCCACCTTCTCAGGAAAGACCCTCACTGAGGGCATACTCACACTGGCAATAGGAGGAAGGAGGGTCAACAGGGTTTAAGGGTTTAACGGGTGTGCTCGTCGCACTGGATGGCGGACGGACGTAGGGGACTCGAACTCGGTGGAAGTATGCAAAACACAGGACAATTCATACGATAGACAGACCATACAGCATACACACAACAATTGCACTACAATCTGGCATGCGCACGGACGTAGTACGTTTCCCTGGGCTTACACAATGACCATGGAATAGCTAGTCTTTCCATGAGAACACAGCACCGTCTTCTTTGTACAGTATACAGGGACGCTGGACCTGGTTTCCAGACCAGGTGCAGCTCCCCACCAATAGATGGAGCCTTCAGCACGGGAACCCACTTACAGGGGATGCTCTTATCACCTCGGTAAGTGGGCTAAACCCTAAACCCTAAACCAAATCGGGACTGTAGCCCGTATCAGGTGGTTACTCCACAATAGGGGCGAGGTGTGCCCGCATTTAGGTCACCACAGTGATACCAATGCACAATATCTGTGATCTGTGATTTCTCGCAATTGTTAAAAAAGGGACGCTGGGCCCGATTCCCAGCAGGTGCTGCTCCCCACCAATAGATGGAGCCTACACCGGTCCAGCTTGAGGTGACTGTTCCTACCAGCACCTCAAGCTGCTTCCGAGGTGGTTAAAAAAAAAAAAAAAAAAAAAAAAAAAAAAAAAGAAGGGCATACTCACACTAGTACTTTCCAGACTGTATCTGAACGCTATCATGGCCGTGTCTTCTATTCCATTTTTTTGTTTTTTTTTTTCCCTATTTACATTCTTGGGAATGCCCTCACTCAGGGCAGACTCAGACTACTACGTTCCAGAATGTATCGGATGGATATTACATCCAAATGCAGCTCTGTTTTCCCTTTGTTTCTTTCTAAGATTAGTGCCCTGCCAGCAAGGCAGGACGTCTGAGTAAATAATGCAGTCAAGCTCAGTTTCTCATTTGTTTTCTGTTTTTCCCCCCCGATTTCGCGTTCAATCCATTCTTTTTGGGGCCACCAGCCTTTTCCCTCCGAACCTGCACCGTGCCGGATCACTGTTCGTCTTGCCACGGCCGCAGTATACTGCGTCTTGGTGAATAGTAGGGGTCCGTGAACTGGTGGTTTATGCCAAGGAAAACCTCCGTGTTGCCATCTAGGCGGACTATGACAAGGACCGAAGATGGGTGGGCCAGGAGGGACATAGAAGCAAAACAACCTTTGGTCACACCCGGGACCACTTCCCTGCATTGGTGGAGCCAGGAGCATTAACGGATAGGTTGAAATTTGAGAGCTTCCTAAAAGGGGAAAGGTGGGAGAAACGGGAAACAGGTTCTGGTCCTCTGAAGGAGAATAGACAGAACCAAGGACCTCCAGGCTCCAGCGATTGACCAATCAATACTAGACAGATTCGGCAGGATATGACTCGGATAAGTAGAATAATGCAACTTACCAAGTAAGGTGAGCACCAAACATTTGCCTCCCTGAACCATTGGGTCCACTCTCCCACCCTAATGAACCAGATGTTAAGGGACGCTGGAACCTCCGAACCACCACTACCTATGACAGGCAAGCTCAAAACCTCCTAAGCATGCGGTATACACTCTGAGGGCGGGCGCCGCTAGAGCAAAATGGCTGGCGGCACCAGCCAAAACAAAAAATAAAAGTCGTGCTGGCACTCCGGCAAAGCTTGGCGTACAGTTCTTTTCCGCCTTGGCAGTTAGAGGTTTGGGGATAGTGGTGGTCAGGAGAAAGAAAAAAAGAAAAAAGAAAAAAAAAAGAAAAAAAAACTTTGCAGGGATTCAACAGTGGTCGGTGAGTCCCTAAGGCTGGCACCGGCTGGTACCCCATTTCCCCCAGTGCTAGTTGTATTGACCTCCGGTAGACTCGGCAGGACTCGACGTGAGGCGGTTTGCAACTTTGCATCTTTGCATGGTCAGGCTCGGAAGCAGCGCTGGTGGGCGAGCGAGGGGGGAGTGCAGAGGTTGGTGAGTGACAGGTTCCGTGGGGCTGAAAGGGGATCTGGGTGAGTCTGCCGAACCACAAAGGCTGCTAGCGCCCTTTTTTTTTTTTTTTTTTTTAAGCATAACTCCGCATGTGGGAAAACCTACTTAACGAGGTGATAAGAGCATCCCCGGTAAGTAGGCCCCTGCTGCGTCGAAGACTCCATCTATTGGTGGGGAGCTGCACCTGCTGGAAATCGGGTCCAGCGTCCCTGTACAAGATATGATGTGTATGAGCTGGAAATCGGGTCCAGCGTCCCTATTCAGCGATGTGAGGAAATATCATTGTGATGTGTTTAAGCTGGAATTGGGGACCAGCCTCCCTGTCATGTGTTCGCACCTACATCTCAGAAAACAGCCGGGGCATTGATTACTTCCCTGTGTAAGGGAAGGATTGACCTCCAACTGTAATGTACTCTAATTACCTTGTAGGGTGACATGGCACGTTTCCGTACCTCCAAGTATAGTATGTTGCACCCGTGTAAAAAATTCACGCGAAAATGTAAAAAAGGTAACCACATATGTAGAATCGGGGGAATCGGAAATTACTTCAGGAGACAGCCATCCTAACGACCCGTCAACCCTAACCCAACCCGCCCGCTGAGACAGCCCATGCCCCGTCAGCTGTAATCAATAGGGGGCAATCAACCAACCCCTTGGGGGGGCAATCAATCACCCAATCCCCTTGTGAGGCCAAACATCGGAGCATGAGCGAAAGCAATGCCATGCCGACCTCGCGGGGAGAAAAAATGGATCTCGCCCAAACCTCCACAGATTCCAACTGAGCTGCCTCCAGGCTGACGAAGACCGACCATTGCCACCATAACAGACGACTCTGACCTTAGTGCTGGTGTCTGCAATCACCATCGCCAGCCTGTCTGCCTCCCCACCCTCCGCACTCGAGATATTGTCGTCATTGTTGTTGTTGTTGTTGTTGTTGTTGTTGTTCTTGATTGTACTGTCTACCTCCTCACCCTCCGCCGTGAAGTCATTGTCGTTGTTGTTGTTGATGTTGTCATCGTTGTCGTTGTTGTTGTTATTGTTGTTGTTATTGTTGTTGTTATTGTTGTTGTTGTTGTTGTTGGTGGTGGTGTTGTCCTCGATTGTAGTGACTGTTGTAATCGCCAGGGCTGTCCTATCTGCCTCCTCAATCGCTACGTGCGAACCGCCGGCCGGCATGAGCGTTCTCCCTACAATCCGTCCAGTGAGCAAACCCCCATCCCGCTCATCCAACCCGGAGGACCAAGCCTCCATTAATTCACACACATCCCGACCCTTGCGAAAAAGGGCTTTGCAGGCCGTCAGCGCAGCCTCCGCCCTCCGCCAATCAATGTACAGTTCAAGCCCGGGATCTAGCCCCTCCTCCAGCTCCTCCAGCTCGCTGACTATATCTAACATGAGTTGTGAGCGGTGATCCACCCAGTCGGCCAGGGGGAACGCAACCCCTTTAATCGGCCGCAGCTCCTGAGATCGCTGAGTCAGCTCACGCACCGTCTCGTGCAGCTGCTGATGGGCCTCCGCCAAGATGTCAAGCCACACCGCCGCGTCTTGTTGTAGTATCCCCTCCGACTCCATCGTGCCTCTAATGAAGATAATCAATAACTTGGCCGGCACTTCCCCTGTACACGCGTCGTCCTCCTTCGAAACAGCCACGTCGCGCACGACCACACTGCCACGTGTCAGGCGCGTCTACAGGCCGAGCAACCTGGGAGAGACAACCTCCGCAGGTGCTGGTTGAGGCAGGTGCAACCGAGCCTCGTCGGTTGGCTGGCGCAGGCTGCTAGCGCTAGCCAAGGCTGCGAGCGTCCTTTGGGACATCCTGTAAAATTGGAGCGACAGGACTAACCAGCCCAGGTAGATCCAACCTTCTGTCTGATCTGACAGAGTGGCATTTTTCAGCCCAGGGTGGCCTTATTGCGTTCAGGGAACCCCTAGCCGACGGCTATACTCCCACATGAGGTTGCGGGTTCAAAACTCCGCAGCCCTGCGCATGGACACCAGCAGGGCATCAGAATGACGCACAGCTGGACACACTTCCCCGTTGGCTGACGCATGGTAAGCTATTACAGACACTGGCTACGCACCACCCAAGGGTTGTCCATGGTGTTGTATGTTGGGTCTTGATACGTGGGTTGCTTGTCGCTGTTGCTCGCGGTTGTTCTGTTGATCTCCCCAGTCTGGCATATCACACAGGTGCCGTTTGTGATTGTTTCTCAAATGGTAGAGTCTTCAGGTCACATGCCAAAGATCATGGATTTGAGTCTGGCTTGGGACTTCTGGGGGGGTCTTGTCCAGCTTGACCTGTCATCTCTTCAATGAACACATAGTTCCCTCTACATAGTACTGCACATATCTGGCCTTAGGACATATACATCTCGCTGTACGGTTACACAGAGCACATATAGCCTTCGGGCAGACACAAACATGGCTCGTGAATATGTACACAGCCCACGGCTCATACAAACATACATCGCCTCTGGGCACACCTATATACACAACTATGGTACCGGGCTGGGGGGGTCTATCAGGTACATGACGGAGTCTACTCACGCATGGCTTAGCTCTAGGTAGGGCAGGGATATAAGTCGCTCTGGCTAGTCTGAGTTCCGCCTAGCCTTGGGTAAGTTAGGGGAAGGACGGTAGGATGTGTCCGCGGGCGCCAGCTCTAGGTAGGGTAGGGATATAGGTCGCTCCGGCTAGTCTGAGTTCCGCCTAGCCTTGGGCAAGTTAGGGGAAAGACGGTAGGATGTGTCCGGGGGCGCCGGCTTGTCTTGGTTAGGTACTTCTGCTGGGTAGACTTTCTGAACTGGGCCTGTAGAAGATTGCATGAGCCTGGCATCGGAAGTTCCTGAACGGCAAGGTTCGTTCGCTTCCATTTCCACTAGGCTGGGGGGTTGGCCCAGCCTTGGTGCTTGTCACTGCTGTCTGGTCCTAGTTGCCCTCGATACTGGTAGGGTGATGGTCCTGAGTGCTGGTCACACTGAGGTAGGATAGTATGGACAGGGGTTGCACTGGGAGTGTTAATGTGGGGATGGGTAGGGTAGGTGGCTTATCCTGTCAGGACAACCGTTGGCTGCGGCTGCCAGCAATCACCGCGGGTCTGGTCCTCGGCCTCTACAACACCCTGGGCTTTTTAATTAAAAAAAAAAAAAAAAAAAAAAGAGCATGAAGATGCACCAAGCCCCACAGACCCTTCCAGGATGAGGGAAGCACCTGCCAGGGGACAGTAAGTACCCAGTTACTGTGCAACCCCCAGCAGATAACAAAAGCTTGACGCATCATCTGAGGGCCTAGTTGCACTACTCGCCATCCGCCACAATTAGTGACGGATGTGTGGAGAGTAAGAAAAGACTAGAATCGTGTCAAACTGNGCATGAGGATGCACCCAGCCCCACAGGGCCTACCAGTAGGTGGGAAGCACCTGCCAGGGGACAGCAGGTGGCCAGTGACTGTGCCTCCCCCAGCAGATAGCAGAGGGACCGAGCATCATCTGAGGGCCTAGTTGCACTACTCGCCATCCGCCACAATTAGTGACGGATGTGTGGAGAGTAAGAAAAGACTAGAATCGTGTCAAACTGGAGGCATGGTTGCACTTACTCGCCACTATATATCTTTTGCAGCAAAGTTAACAAAATTGGTCTGCCTTATCTCTTTTTTTTTTTTTTTTTTTTTTTGGGGGGGGGGGGGGAAAAAAGCTCCAATCTATTCGTGGGGAGCAACACGTGCTGGGAACCGGGCCCAGCGTCCCATGTAAAATTATACAAATGATTTTAAAATGCCAGGGCCATTACCTGGCTTCGACTAAGAGCAATCTGAGAACTTATGAAAAAATTCAGAATCGGGGGGCAGGGTCTTGAACAGCCCCAGCACCGCCGCATCGCGACAAGCGCTAATGCTCTGAGTGATCGCAGCCGGGAAGGCCCGGTTGCCCTTCGCCCGACTGTGCCGGACTGGCCATGCCACCGTGTCAGGTGGTATGTGGCTTGGCTACTGGTCCCGCCACGCGTCACGCGCGTGCTGACGTGGCAGATTTTTATGATCTATTGGTGGGGAAGTAGGAGAATTCCGGCGCATGGTTGGCGGAGCTGGAGGATGGGGAGCTTCAGATGCAGGAGATATTGCAGGTGATGTCATATCCATCAAATTATCCATTACAGGGCCAAGTGGGTGAACCTTTAATGGCGGATTGGATGGAGGATAAGATCCAGCAGTTGCTGGAAAATATCTGGGCGTTCGAGGAGGGGCCGGATCCGGGGTGGGATCGTGCGCAGATGCTATGATCTCTTTCGGAAAGGGCTAGCTTTCTCTGACAGCTACTGTATCAACGCCGCCGAGGGGGATATGATAACATCGACAATATCGACAGTGAAGACAGGAGAGAACGTCAGCGACAGCGTGGTCAACAGCGATAAGATAGTGGAGCAGGTGAGTGTCGAAATCGGTAGTGACAACAATATGATCCGGGAGGATGCAACGGCGGGTAGTGAGGAAGAGGACGACAACTGCGTTGACAACAACAACAACAACAATGACAACAACGACATCAATGATAAGACCTGCACCGACAAGATCAGCAACAACAACATCAATAGAGGCGAGAGCTGTTACAGAAACAACAACGACGATAGTTTTGACAACAACAACAATGACAACAACAACAATGACAACATCAACAACAGCAACAATCATTTCAAGAATAGCAACTACAGTGTCCTTGGTGCCAAAGGGTTGGACAACAACAACGGTGCTGTTGGGAGTGGTGACTATACTGACAATAACAACATCAACAATATTGATTACAACTATAACGATGGCTATGGCTGGGATGACATGGATGATAAGAGGATCAACCGTGGCTGCAGTGGAATGATCAGAGTTGTTGGTTGGCAGCGGATGGGCGTAGGTTAGTTGGTAGTGATTGGTCATGCCCGACCCACAATACCAATCAGGATGGGAGGTGGTCTGCTTAGGTTTTTCCTGTCATCTCTGTTTTGGGTCTAAGGATTAGGTACGGTTGGAAGAGCAGTTAATCCCCTCTTACGAGGGCAATCAATGTTGTTCTTCACTATACATCAAATTAAGTACATACTCTATTAAAAAAAAAAAAAAAGTCAGAAAAAATCCAGAAAAAATTTGGAGAAAAAGTCCTTCGAATGCTCAAATCCCTGGAACCCCCCACAAAACACTATAGAATTCTCTAGCACTGTCTAATTCCCTGTCGGGCTCTCCCATACCTCATGCCCCCATCCTGCTAGGTTACAGAGCAACACAACTAACCTCAGCTCCGACCAGCATTGTCCTGACAACAACCCTCGGTTTTCCCTTGGAATACTCGGCCCAAGGCATCCCCAGATCTCTCTACCAGGGCTCATGCTCTTGCCATCAACAGGTTACAGGGCACCCCCCCAGCTCCAGCCAGCGTCGTTCTGGCATAGAAAACCGCAGGCCCATGAATCTAACATCAACAAAGAAGCTTATAATGAGTTGCAAGGAGTACCTAGAATCCTAAGACATTCTCAGGAGAACCGCCACCTACCATTTGATGGTAATTATGAAAAACAGAGAGACAAAAATCAGAAATGAAACCACCGCCAATCCAACTCAAACCCTCACTACAGGCGAGAAACTGCCGCTCAGACTTTCAGTCCTCGTACCAGAAGTCGCTAGTTCTCACACCCCCCTTGCTAGGGTTACAAGGCAACACCGCCCCAGCACCAAACTAGCTGTTTTCTGACGGACAGGAAGTATCTTCCTCCCTTGACAACTTCCTTAGCTGCAAAACCCCCTACCGGTTATAGGGTCACCTCCCCAGGCATCAGCTACGTTGAACGAGGTAGTTATGCCTTCCACCCTCGACATAATATCAATGGCCTTAGGCTCCTCTGGGTCACAGAGCCACTGCTCCAGCACCGTCCAAAGTCGCCCCACCCCGCGCTTCCAGTAGACTTACCCTCCTGAGCCACCCTTCCTCTACTGCACGAGCCCACCCAAAATTCCTTCCAAGTCGTACTTCCAACTTTCACCTTCCCAATTTGAAAAAACAAAAAGGAAAAAGGACCAGAACTAGAACCACTAACCATCCATCTCCTACCCTCACAACATATGAAGGACACGCCGACCAGGCTTTCAATCCTCGTACCATAAATCATCAGGTCTCGACTACCCCCCTGTTAGGGTTACAAGGCAACACAAGCTGCCTCGGTACCGACCTCGTCCCACCCCGCCCTTCTAGTTGAACTTACTACCCTGAACCGTCGATCCCTCCTCTGAGTGAGCCCCCCCCCCTTTTCCATCTTGCCTCTACTTCAACCTTCCCCTTTTTGTTTACAAGACCAGATCATAACTATGACTAATTACTTGAGAGAAAACA